TAGGGAGCTCTCTGTGCTTGGCCATGATCGCCCGTTAGGAGCGGCTGTTGGCGAGGATGCAAGGGGGGGAATTAAGTCACCCCCCGAAAAGACGGCCTAGCCGTTTTTTTGGGGCTCAAAAAAAAATAAGGCCCGGCCTTATTATGTGAGAAACACGGTATCATTTGTATATATCTAATTCATTTTTTATTTTATTTATATCCTGACTTGACAGATAGTTTTCAACTTACGACCACAATTGAGCCCAAAATTTCGGTGAAGCAGGGCAGTTGTGCTCCATTTTACAATCTTTTTGCCACAGTTGTTAAGAAAATCACTGCAATTGTTAAGTTAATCATGTAGTCGTTAAGCAAATCTGGCTTTCCCCATTGACTTTTCTTGTGGGACAATGCAACTATCATAAATATATGTCAGTTGCCAAGCACCTGAATTTTGACCATGTGACCTTGGTCTGCAACAGTTATCGGTGTGAAAAATGGTCATAAGTTATTTTTTCCAGTGCCATTGTAACTTTGAACACTTAACCATTAAACAAATTTGTATTATTTGTATTATTTCGATAAAATAAAACTTAACCTGGCAAACTTACTTAATATTCCTTCTCCCTATTCCCCCCCCACCCCCGCAACAACCCTGTGAGGTGGATTGGGTTTAAAGAGAAAGGTATTTTACTAAGACTGGCTTACACGAGAAAAGAAATACGTACAGCGAACGAAATACTGTGTCTAAATCTAATAAAGAAAATAAATGCCACCAATTTTGTTCTAGCTTTGTTATTCAGCAACAAAACGTTAAATGGAAGGCTTTTTACAACGTTTTCAGTAGATATCCAGGGTGCCCTGCGAATCCCGCCTTGAGCACAGCTTATCATTAAGGGCAACGGTGGACCCGGCGTCCAAATACAGTTCCCTATTCAACCTGCAGCAGCTCCGCGCCTGCCCCAAAGCTGCCTCATCTTCGTCTCTTGGGAATCTGACCCACCATCATCGCCACCTTTGCGCTCCCGGTTTCAGCGCCGGGTCTCAAGCTCCTCGCTTGCCCTTCCCGAAGTGTCCCGATGCCTGTCCGAGCCCAGCGGCCGCATTCACACCATTCAAGCCCTCCTACCTGGATGTACTTCATGAGCTCCCGCACGTATCGGTCGCGGTCGGCGGGGACGTCGCAGTGCGACTGCAGGTAGAGCAGCGGAGCCAGGCCCTGCTGCCTTCGCAGGCGGTCCTTCTCGGGCAGGCTGAGCGGCGGCGGGCGGCGCAGGTAGGCCAGGTCGGGCAGCCACTGGAGGCTGAGCGGGAAGTCGGACTCGCGGCGGAAGGTGGCGGTGTGGTTGAAGAGGCGGATGCCGGCGCCGTGCGAGAGCAGGTAGTTGTTCATGGGCGACTCCTCGTGGAAGAGGGCCCAGGTCTGGTGGGGCAGCCGCGGCAGCGGGGCCTCGTAGGCCCGGAAGTCCGTGCCGTAGAAGAGCAGCGACCGCGTCCGCCGGTGGGCTCGCACGCGGCGGTCCTTGGTAGCCAAGCAGGAGCCCCCCGGGCAGTCGATGCGCGCCGTCTCGCCGGGGAAGTGCGGAAAGAGGCCGCCGCTCCACCACAACAGGATGGGCAGCTCCCGGTTGGCGCGCTGGTCGCGGTTCCCGGGCCCGCGGAAGGATGGCGCGGCAGCCACCGTCAACCCCGCGTGCAGCTGCGCCGGCTGAAAGAAACGGGCGGCGGCGGCGGCGTCTCCCAACTCCTCGAAGGCCTCCCCGGGCCCCGGGGGGACTTCCGTGGCGCGGCTTCCCGCGTGCAGCGGGGCCAAGCAGCTGCACCAAGCAGCGAGCTGGGCCAACCGGAGGGAAGCCATGGCCGCTTCGCCTCAGCGCGCCCCGGGGCGGGGGAACATTTCCCCGCTCCACCCCAGCGGTGGAGAAGCGGACGGGGGCTTGGCTTCCCGCGTCCACTTCTTGGCGCTGAGGAGGCTCCTCCGTCCGGGTGTTTTCCGTTAAATACGACCAAGCGAGCCAGCGGCTTTGGGCCGGGCCCAAGAAGGACTCCGGGAACCCCTTTGTCTCGCTACCCTGGGAATCCTTGACCCGGCCGGCCCAAATCTTAAGGAAAAAGGCAACAACGTTCTGAGATTACAGAAAAACTTGATTGACAATAAACTGATCCAAAATGCAGTAAATGTCTTAGTCCAGGAACTTAACAAAATTTGCAGTATGATCAATCAATGCCTAGGTCAGATGATCAGAAACGATTTTAGGATGTTTTAAATTATACTAATATTGTAATTCTCAAGTCTTGCAATTGTGGCAGGTCAAAATTAAACAGAAAAAAACAACAAGTTTCTACACGGTATTATCCCAAAATGTATCAGAACTTGTACTAAAACAAGATCCATGCCTGCCATTTAAAAAGAATTGTAATTTCAAATTGTTTATGGCTTTTTACTTTTATAAATTTGATTAAGTAGACCAACTTAGAAGTAATAAAAGTGAAAACAAGTCATTAAATAAAATCTCCAGGTTTTCCCCAGAATGTCTTTAATTATCAGTCTGTTGAATATACTTCAAAAATATCAACACAGGAGTATTTCTACATATATCAGTCCTGAAGTAATGTTCTGTTTGATCTGGTGGTGAAGTCCAGACCCTATCTACTAGAAAATTCCATTTGGTAGCCTTTTCCCTGATACTAGGTTTGCCCCAATCCTACTGGCCTTTTGCAAACCTGGCTTTTACCATCTAACTGGGAGCACTGGCAGTATGGGTGAGCCTATTTTGTGGTTGATCTGAATGTGTGTTTTCATGAATGTTGTAGTCATTTATGTCATTGCTTTTTTTAAAAAAAATAATTGTTTTATCCTGCATTTGTTTTTAATGTTATGTATATTAGATAAGTGGCCATATACACTTGCTAAATAAAACATGAAAATTATGGTAAATCATATATATGAGGTTTGTAATTGTTTTGTAAACAAAATTCAATCTGGTAGCACAGGTTGGAAAATACAGTAGAAAAGATGGGGGAAAGTAAATGGAGAAATATATTCAACATTGTAAGGAAAAATATTAACTGAGTTAAAAAGGGATGGTTGCCCAGCCTGTAATTAAAGCAAAATGCCTCTAGAAATCTTGGCAGAATTGTTGCATGAATCCTATTTTCTCTAAGAGTATAGATGGAAAGAATGTAAGAGGGAAGGACTTGGGGAGAAAAAAAAATATGTAAACAGGCTTCCAACTAGCACAGCTTCCTGTCAACCCGAAACAGAAAAAGTTGTTACCTGGATTTCTTTTTAAATTTTGTTTAAAATAAACTTAATTTTTGGAATCTTGTCTCTGATCCTTATTTATGTGCCCATGCTCATGGTTCAAAACTTTTCCATGTTTTCTTTCCTGAAGAAAGCTTGTGGAGTGAATTTCTATCATGTTGCATTTTTTTGCACTAATGATTTGGTGCCTACAAGGAGCTATTTTCAGTACTCTACAATAACTGCATCACTTTTTGATTGGAAAGAATAACAAAAATTACAACTATTTCTTCCATCTCAAACTGAATGAGAGTACAAATTGTTTTAAGAAACAATCCTTCCTCCAGTAATACAGACCTGTTAAGAATATGCAATAACAGAAAAATAGAAATAGATTTTAAGAAATACAATATAATGTATTCTAGATCACAGTATAGTTTTACAGTAAGATTATCTAGTCATGAAGAAAGGTAATTTAGCTTTAGGAAAGGATATTTTATTTCAAAATAGTGCTAGCATACTTTGCCTTTTCAAACAATTACTTGTTTTTCTCAGCAAGCACTAATGAAAAATTAGGTTCATAGATTAGAAAAGGAAATGCTTTTGCAGATAAGAAAAAGTTTATAAGCATCTGATAGAATATTGTTGAAGACCATTGCAAATTATAGTTTATTTGCCATTGTGGAGCTTGATAGAGTCAACCTGCAAACCAGTTCATTCCCCTCCAAAGTACAGGCCTTGGAAAAAATAATCAGTATTTATTTGCTAACAATGACATAAAATACATCTTTATATATTTTTTTACAAATTAAAAGATGAATTGAAAAAAAGTGAAAATACACTTAACTTTTTAAAATTTAAATTCTAGAAATTAGAATTCTGAAAGTTTCATTGTTGACTATTGTTTTGGGGATGGATGCTGTTTATTTGCTTCAGAGATTTCCAAATTTTGGTTGGGATAATATATTTGGCAAGAAGGGGAAGGGGACTCTTAAGCACACTTGACATCCTTATCTATCTTTTGGAAAAACTCCTTGAGAGCGAATTGTGTACATTTCTTTGCTATGTGATGAAAGGGAAAGCTGAAATAGATCAAACAAAATATTTACAATTTCTCTCTCACACACGCACATACACACAAACACAAAATATATCATGGGATAAGAAACTATACTCCTGAATATTTAATCATTCATGTACATAAAACTTTCAATTTCAAATATTCAGTCTCAACCCACAATTTCCCTAGGCAAGCTTCTTCCCTGCTCTCCCCCCACCCTTTCTCAAAATTCCATGTTCCTATTCTCTTAATACATCCTGAACACTGCAAGACAATCTAAGCGTAGCCTTTTTAAAAAAATAAGTAATCTCCTACAAATTAATGAGCTTTTATATCGAGTCTATGAAATGTATTTCATTTTTCTATCAGAATTCCTTTGGCCTATTTGAAGCCAGAGTAATGGTTTATCAATGGAAAGATTGCCTATCAACTAGGCCAACTTTATGTTTGAGCTTGAAGACTAAAATTCAGTTATGACTATCCTACACTAATGAACCAGTTTGTTATTTTATCAATGGCCAAAATTATCTGGAGGTATTAACAGCCTGAACATCAGTGGCATGATTTGAACTTTACGCTATGATCATTTCTTCCATATGGAGATCTCAGATACTTCAGTGCTTCTTGGATATAACTCAACCTAGCCATCTCCAAGCATATTTCTATGCCACTTTTTGACATCTTGTTATAAGAACATTTCTTTTAAAGGAGAAATCATGGTCATCTTCTTCAAGATACTTAATTAAACCTAGCATGCGAATAGGAAAAAAAAGAGACAAAACAGGATACTGGCAAAAAGATGCTTCTTTTCTCAAAGGAGTGATGGCAATACCAGTTCACACCAACCAAAGACAGATTTAACTTTCCTAGAGACAGGACCTGCTTGTTTCCATTTACTTATTTCAAGGCAAATTTGTGTAGCAACACAATTACAGAGTAAAGGCATGTCAATTTTTTTCCCCAGCTCAAAATTTGGTATTTTTTTTAAAGAAGACACTATTCTATAATTAGATTACAGTATATTGCATCCTCAAATTTTAAGTTACCACCCTATCTGACATCCATCTTCCAACTGAGTAGGGCCGACCATCCATCTTTCCCTATTTGGCTCATTTTCTTTTCATAAAGACTATCACATACACAAACTTTGCATCATCATCTAATTTTGGAGAACGATCGCTTTTTCTTCTGATGCAGAATCACGTACATTAACTCAAAGGAACTCGGGTGTCAGGAGAAAAATGATGTAGATTTCTGCCAATCTTAGTAAGTGATATAGGTTTAGGACCCAGAATCAAACAGTGTTTTTCATCACCCTACGTAGATGTTTTGATTGTTCATGTCTCTCAAAGGTTTTGGGAGATGCTGAAACTTTATGAAGCATATTAAAATTATGGAATTATACAGGTTTTTCTATAGTCCTTCCAAAAAGAGATGGAGTCGTTTAGGAGACAGTCAGTGAACCTACAGATGTCAAGTGCTGGCATCCAGCATAATTCTGACTTTAGCTCAGCAACTGGCGAATTTCTTTGTGCATGTGACAGAGGAAGTCCACATATGAAGCCCCCCCATTCATGCTCTTATCTTCCACCAAGAAGTGTTTGAACAGCAGATCCAGTTTGTCTTCCTGCTTCACAATGATAAACTGAAAGCAAAAAGAAAAAAGAAAAGAAGGTATACAATTTGCAAATAAGTCTTTTTCCATCTGAATTTAATGCAGCCACATTCTGACAGTGAAAGCAACAGAATAATCCATGCCCAGGTTTGAATCACCACAAGCCCATTTGAGACTACTGTTTCTTTTAAGGCATTAAAATCAAATTTTTATACACTTTTTAATGTCTGGGAATCGTAAAAGACAAACATTTTTGTTATAATCATAAAATCAAAACCAGTTACCTTCATGTAGCGTGATCTTTGAGTCTGGAACATATCAATAATGGATCGCACTCTTTTGGAAAAGGGATTGTCCAAAACAGGTAGTGTGCACTGTAACAATTATAGCATAGCAGATCAGGCACCATTTAATTCATTAACTAAATGAATTTTAAGAACATAGGTCACATCGGTTACATTACACAAATCATATTATAAAGTATGAAGACGCTTGGAACAGTCTGGAATGTTTCACAATATTGAAAATGAAGAAGAACAGCAGAGCCTTAGCGAAGGCTAATATTTTCTCAATGCTGGCCTTTCAGTCCCTTGATCATGATCCTGCCAAAATGTTATCATTCATTGAAATGCCTTTACATTCTTAATGTTATTATGTAGAAAACTGAGATATCCAATGTCAGATATGACATATACTAAAATTAAGGCAATGTTCTCTTTATCCAATCCTAACTTACCATAGAGCTGTTGATCTGGCTGAAAGATGAGACTCCAAAGAGGTTTTGGATCATCCCTTGTTGAACGTTTACTCCTACCCACAAAAATATATTCAGGCCATTTTCTAGTAGGTATATGTCACCCTTGGAGAGACGTTCTTCTGAGTTTCTGATTGCTGTTGGTAAGGAGTCACTGCTATAATCTATTTTGGTCTATAGGACAGAAAGGAAGTTACTATCTCCTGAGTATATATATAAAATACACACACATACCATAGCATTTAACTAGGAATAATCCTTGGCATGTAGCCATGGAACCTTTAAAAAACAGCTAAATAATTCTCATGATTTAAATAATAAATAATAGTATGCACGATACCCATAATACGCATGATTTTTAGTTTTTACACTGAATATTCTACATAAATTCAGATGCAAAACACAAAATGATTATTTGTCAGCTGTGCCTGATTCAGTTTGGCGCCTCACAGGCATCCTGCCATCAAAGGCTGGGGGAAGGTAAAGCGGTATGTGTATGTGATGGGAAATTGGGAGGGGGGGGATGACAGGGCAGCTGGATGGTTTGTACTAACATCCCAAGGTCAGGCACCCCGAGAAAATATGGATTACCTCCAAACATCTCAGTGTACTCAAAACATCTTGGTGAGCTCTGGTTGATTGGAAAAGGGCTAGTCGTGTGTGTGTGTGTGTGTGTGTG